CATCATTTGAAGACCAAACTTCTAAAAAAAAAGCTCATCGTCACTGTGAATTGAGTCACTCACTATCAATTTATGTACGGCAGTGGAGTAGTGGAATGGTTGAAAGTATAGGGGATAACTCTTTTGGTGCTTGTTGGTTTCCTGTAAATTTCGTATTCAAGCGAAGAAGATGATGACGATTCCCTGATGACTGGAAGATCGAGAAAGGCGAGTTTCCCATCTTTTTCTACCTCGTGAGTGAATTTGATATCCTTGTGAATTCTGTTGATCTCATCTAAAATTTGTGGAAGGGCTTCCCGTTTAACTACGCTGAAGATATCGTCAACAAACCTCCACCAACGGTTTGGGTGGGGGACCGAAATCCATACAGCATCGAAATCCGTACACCTCATACAAAAAGTAGGCGTTTTGTATGAAATGTACGGATTTTGATTCATTTCTTAGGTGTACGGATTTCGGTTCGCCACGGTAATAGTCTTTTCACACAGGAAGGGGGATAGGGGGTTTCCCATTAGGGCTCCTTTCGTCTGCTTGTAGAAGCTACCTCGGAAAGAGAAGTAGTTCTCTTTCATACAAAGCTCCGAACCTTGTTTCTCCACGCTCTATCCTCTCGTTGTGTTAATAGCCAGTCCTCCAAATGGTTGATCGCTTCCTTGACCGGTACGCTGGGAAAAAGAGCTGTGACGTCGAAAGATACCATAATCTCGTCCTCGTTGATGTCTCCTGAAGATTGTAGTTGCTGAGCGAACTCCTGGATGTTACTAACTGCTTTACTCTGGAACTGATTCGGCATACTCTGGAACTCTGTAACTAGTCACTTCGCTAGTTTGTGGGTGGGGGAACCAACTGCAGACACGATCTCTCGCATTTCATTCTCCGGTTTATGGACTTTGAGGATCCTGGGTAGAATGAGATTGGATTCCCGTAAACGACCTGCTCCATCTCCTAATTTTTGATTTGCACTCCTTCAGTGCTTTCCCCACGCTTGTTCTATACCTGTGTTAATATATATTCGGTAAAATTCGATGTTTTTCTTAAGTCGAGTACACTGGAGTCGCTTTTTACGCGGTTTTTTTTACACGGTTTTTTTTTACGCGGTTTTTTTTTACGCGGATTTCGGAATTTACGCGGTTTTTTTTTACGCGGATTCCGGAATTTACGCGGTTTTTTTTACGCGGATTTTGGTTTTTTTTTACGCGGATTTCAGAATTTACGCGGTATATCGCTTTTTACGCGGTTTTTTCTTACTCGGTCTTTTTTTACTCGGTTTTTTTTTACGCGGATTTCGGAATTTACGCGGTTTTTTTTTACGCGGATTCCGGAATTTACGCGGTTTTTTTTTACGCGGTTTTTTTTTTACGCGGGACGTATCACCCGCGTAAAAAGCGACTCCAGTGTATTAGTACAAGACACTGAAGAAGTCTGCACATTGTAGACGAAATGCGCGTATCTGTCAAGGATAAGCAAATAAGGCAGTGGAATTAAATTGAAATTACTAATCCTTCGCTCTCTCTCTCTCTCTCTCTTTATATTAAAATTTATTTTTTGCTGTGCAATTGAATGACATCAAGCGTATCTCAAATGATATTACCCATTCGAAGACGGTCTCTTTGATAACGGAAAGCTGCCTTTCTCATTTTCATCAAATATATTCAATTTATTTTGAGAATTCACATCACTGATGGAGAGGCCCCTACAAATTTGTTTTTAGATGCCGACTGAGGTACTGGAATGCTGCGAAACTGCTCGACTTCAACAGAAAAAGAAAGTTAGCAGATTCTTCGTCGCATCGCTTGAAGCTGATATTGTGACACCCGCACTATAAACACCACGAAAGAGAGAGAGCACGAACACCATCGCAACGAACTTTACTAACAACTCGAAAGAAAGAGCTATAACAGAACTGAACTGCTTAATGGTCAAGTAGAGAATTTGTAATAGTAGTAAAATTATGTTTATTTCTATTGATTATGATTGTACATTGATTTATCATTTCAATTGACCACTTTGTCAAGCAGTTTTGGCGTGACTTTCTACCAGCGATTTCACAAAACTGGACCAACTAGTTTCTATTTTGTTATGAAACGCACAAATGTTGGCTACTTTTCTCGTGGTTCTAGAAGAAAAAAATCTCAAAATAAGGTTTTATTTCAAAGTTCGAGTGGTAGTAAACGTCATTTTAACTGTTCGAATGAAGTGGTTAATTGAAAAGCCTATCTGGCTCTTGGATATTCTAATTTAGTATTTGCGTGTTTCAACTAGTTTACAGAATACCCCTTGGGATGTGTGTTTTGTTTGAATTGAAGACAGTGATAACCTACTTACTACGAGTATAACTTAACCTAACGTGCTAGATCACGTATGATCTGATGATCTGATCTCAGACAAGTGTCTCTGAACCTTTCCAAGAAGACCGTTCTTCGCTCTTCTAGAGTCTGAAGACCAACCAAACGGTAGACCTCACAATTTCGCGTCCATGGAAGACTGTTCAGGATCATCCTAAGGATCTTGTTCGGGATTCTTTAGAGTTTAAGGTGATGGCATTTGGCGCAATGCTCCCAGATTGGCATACCGTACTCGATTACGGGAAGGATGATTTGCTTGTAGACAGCAAGCTTGTTTTTCAGGGACAGAGTGGATCTCCTTTTGATAAAGGGTGTCCACGATGAAATTGCCACACACAAAATTGATTCGCAAAATTCGAGTTTTCATCCGATTGCCATCAAACTTTCAGGGATTGAGAAATAACTATTAAACTTCATTTTACCATTTTACTCGTATTTTATTTACAGTCCATACGCAAATGCCCGGACCTTGGCCTTAACCCCGGCCATAAGATTCTGCACAACCTGTGAATCAACCGTTTTTTGCATGTAAACCCATACTTTCTTCAGTTCCTCGACTGTCTTCACTACCTTAGGTCGTTTAAGAAGGTGCTGCTTCATAATCGCCCAGTACTTCTCGATGGGGCGGAGCTCCGGAGTGTTGGGAGGGTTGAACATTTTCGGCACGAAATTGACCTTATTGTCCGCATACCACTTCAGCACGTCCTTGGAGTAGTGGCATGAGGCCAAATCCGGCCAGAAGATTGTTGGGACGTTGTGGGCCTTCAGGAGAGGAAGCAGCCGCTTCTGGAGGCACTCTTTTATGTACACCTGTCCGTTCATCGTGTCCTGGGTCACGAAAGGTGCACTCCGCTTCCCGCACGTGCAGATGGCTTGCCAAACCAGGAATTTCTTCGCAAATTTGTACATCTTCTGAGTGCGGACATGCTCCGGAACGCTGAACTTATCCTTGGCCGTGAAAAACAGGTTGCCGGGGATCTGTTTGAAGTCGGCCTTCACATATGTTTCGTCGTCCATGATGCAGCATTCAACTTTCGTCAGCATGTTGAGGTACAACTTCCTGGCACGGGTTTTGGCGGACTTGTTCTACTTCTCGTCGCGATTAGGGGCCTTTTGTACCTTGAACGTTCGAAGCCCAGCCTTAGTTTTGGCCTTCTGGACAAAACTTCGGCTTAGGTGCAGCTTCTTAGCCACATCCCTAACGGAGGCGTTCGGATTTCGGTTGAAGGCCGCAACTACGCGGTTGTGATTTTTGGTGTTGTACGGAATACTTTTTCCTTCACTTCTGGGCTTCCGATCGGTGGTCAACCGTTCCTCGAACCGCTTAATCACTCGCGACACCGTGGAATTCGCAATTCCCAACGTTTTAGCGATGGAACGATGCGAGAGATCCTTGTTCTCGTGATGAATGCGCAAAATATTATCACGCACGAGCTGTTCTATCGACTCCATTACCGCGAGTTTTGATCACAGGACACAGGATCACAGGAAACTTGCAGGATGTAAATAATGCACTATGAACTAAATCCACCCAAATTTTCATTAAATTCTACCCAACGGTTAAAAAGTTAGAGCAATTTCATAGTGTGGCAATTTAATCGTGGACACCCTTTAAGCGGGTACAGGTATATCATCAGGATGTTGCATTTTGTTTTCATTGTTCAGAAGGAACTTCAGAGAAGTCCAAAAGAAACTTCAGAGAAGTTCAGAAGGAACTTCAGAACAGTTCAGGAGGAACTTCAGTTTGAATCTGTTTTCCGTTCATTTTACCATAAACTCTACTTGTGGGAAAAGTTTCATAAAATTCTGAGACACTTCGGTCCGTTTTGGCCGATTGTTTAAAAAAAAAACCCTACTCTCTCTCTCTCTCTGAGTGAGTTTGAACGGTCCTGTATGTCGAACATAGGAAGAAAACGGTGAATCATCAATGCTACATCGCACTAAGCTCTGCATGTATGAGACAAAATCTAGAAACAGAATCGAGTATTCATAATTCAGCAATACGCTGTGGATTCGGTTCGGTTTAATTTCGGTGGCGACTTTTATGTTAAACCTACTTTTTTTTGTTTTAAACACGTTGCTATTGAGTGCAATATGTTTGCCGATTCTGTTGGGAGCAGTTGTCAGCAGTACCAATGTAATCAAAGAGAATTTTTGAAAACTTTTCATTCATTGTTCAGAAGTAAACGTAAGTAGAGCCATTTTCAGTTTTCAGTTTTTCGGGATTCCCCCTAACTCACGAACCGGATAGAGAGAGGGAGCCATTTATTATCATTGAAACATTTTAAATTTAGAGCAATGTGATAAACTTAAAAAAAAAATCGATATCAATTATGTTTTATGTAAAACTTCATCCATCGTTAATCATTGTAAATTATCATAGCTTTACTAATTGAATTGTATTGTTTTCATGAACTAAACTGTTTACTTTTATTTACTATGTGCTTGTGTTCCTATCTGTTCGTATTGTTCCCACATCATTTCTTTGTTTATTGCTTGTTTGCATATAATTTCATTTAATTTGCCGATTGTTTTCACCAGTGTTGAAACTGCCATTACTCTTCATGTATACTAACGTTGTTTATCGTCCACCATCCGAAACCGCGTCCCTCGTGTGACAAAAACCGATCTCATTTGACATTGTGACCCAAACAGCCACCTCGGAGTACATTCAGAAACCCAGGATCGAAGTTAACGATTCACAGCATATTAAGGAAGGTGACCCCATTAAGATGACCTGCCTGTTGGACGTTGCCGATGGGGTTAAGTTTGACATAAAATGGAAACTTCCGGACAAGCGATTAGCCGTTAATGTAAGTGTTTAAATGTGTATGTGTTTTTTTTCTATGGAACCCCATTTGAACAAGATTTGTTTTGAGCAGAACTCCCGAATAACGATCAGTCGGCTATCGTCCACTCCGCATCCGGAGCGTTCACACTACCAGCTGGGTCGATCGGTGTTGACCATCAACGAGGCCGTAGAGAGCGATACCGGCTTCTACCACTGCGAAGTGACCGATCACAATTCGCACACCAACCACAAGGCGGAAAAGATTTTCGTTCTCAAACAAGCGGACATAGGAATCATCGAACTGTACGAAGACAACAAGCTTGAGTTCATCAACATCACACATGACCGGGATATTAAGATAGTTATCCGGTACAGATCTGGTGTGCAGCCGGAATTCTACTGGACCAGAGACGACGAAACGGAGCCGTTGCTGGCTAACGAAAAGTACTCAATTCTAGAGGACAACAGTAAAGTGACGATGACAGTGAAGAAAGCCAATATCTTCGATACGGGCGTGTACACTCTTCATGCAACCAATGGGAAAAACTACACAACTTACTCCATGAAGGTATTTGTAAGAGGTGAGAAACAACACTTTTTACCTTTTGATAATAATTAGTTAACAATTTATCATATTAATTCCAGACAAACCTCTTGTGACCATTAGCCCGATCCACGCCCGGCCAAACCAGGTCGTTACCTTCGTTTGCAAAGCCCTCGGCTATCCAACGCCGACGATGAGGTTTGCGTTCATCCCCTGTATGGGTGAACCGTGGAGAAATTGTTCGCAATCGCTGAACAAGGAGAGCGCCACAACCTATGTAAGTAACAAGAAGCTTTGTTGCCTTGCTTAAGCTAGGTGTTTGGTTGCTCTCTTTCTAAAGCATCCGCAAGCTGGAATCAATGATTTCATTTCACTCGAACTGCAGTTCTTGATTAGCATTTTATCAAATCACGTTTGATGTCTTTTGGTTACTTCTTTCTCGTACATATTATGTTTGGTTTCCTTCGATTTGATTGTCCGATAGCCGAAAAGTTTGCGATTAGTCTCCTGGCCGCAAGAGGACGAAGTGATCATGCGCACGGTAAGTGGCCGAGAATAAACATGTATTGTGTCTGTATGCTGCTTCGACGATCAACGCTCGAGGAAGATGCAAACTTCGAATAGATGCTGTACCGTTTGCTATGCGAGTCATTTGCTGTAGACAGTGAGCCAGAAGTATTTATGAGGGAATTTAGTACTGAGTAGAATCCATTTCCCATCTGATAGACACCATCAAATTCAATGGAGGTTGAAAAAGTACAAATACCTACGAACGAATAAGTTGAAAAAAAGCAACGAACGAGTAAACTTATCAGCAGTATCATATCTGAGCGAAGGTTCAACGGATTTTTGAAATTTCAAATGCTTGTAAAGTAAATGTAGTGTAGTTTCAGATTAAATTATCAAAGTTTATTTTAGGGGGCGGATCTCTCATAGGGAGGGGTCATTGTAAAAATATACCAATGAAGCGGCATATTTTGATGTTAGAGATGTTTATATCACGTGATTTCAACCAAATAGTATGTTGCTTCATTATGCAAAGAAATTCAGAAATACAGGGTCTTCAAAACTATGGATAGTGTATGACAGAATATAATTACTAGATGGCGCTAAAACGGAAATGATCATGTTGCGCCACATATTATACATATAAAGCTTTCTACAGATCCTGCTCATATGGATGATTCCTGTCTATAGCAAACTTGTTCAGAACAAGACCTATCCTAAGGTAAAGTGTTTGGTTCAGAATTAACTAACCAGACAGCGCTAGTGACATTTATTTTGATTTCTTCTTCTTTTTCTTTTTCTTCTTCTTCTTCGCATTTTCAATGCACTACCACAGTTGAGAGCTTTCGATGCCAATACCAATGCATGAATTTATATATTGTGTGGCAAGCACAATGATATTCTATGCCCAGGGAAGTCGAGACAATTTCAAACCCGAAAGATTCCCTCGGCCGGACCGGGAATCAAATCCGCCGCCTCCGGCTTGGTAATACCGTGCCTTTACTGACTAGGCTATGAGGCCCCTTATTTTGATTTGTTTCCCCTAACTTAGCATATGGACTACGCAGTTCGAAAAAGTAGTGTAAATGTCTGTTCAATATGATGCACATAAATGGAGCGTCACATATCATATACCGTTACAACATTGCGTACAAGTTGCTCGTTTGTGTAAAATGAAATACAAGTTAACGTGAATGAATGTTTACATCACAATTAAAATTCAGAATTTTTATCTGTGTAGATATAAGGTTTCCGTTTTCGGAAAAGTTGTTCAGATCGACAAGACATCGTAAGGTAAAGAGTTTAGTTAATAATTCACTCACCAGGCAGCACTAGTGTGACATTCATTTAGAATTGTTAGCCTTAACTTAACATCTTGGCTAGATACAAGGTTCCTGTCTTCAGCAAAGTAGATCACCTGATCTTACCTGATCAAGTCTTATCCTAAGGTAAATATTTTAGCTCAGAATTCATTCACAAGGCAGCGCTTGTGTGACATAAATTTTGAATTATTTGCCCTAACATAACATATGAACTAGATAGAAGGTTTCCATCTTGAGTAAAGTTGTTCAGATGGACAAGACAAAAGTGACTGTTATGAACCGTATCCGAAAGGGACGAAAGCAATCCAATCTACATTCCATTTAATGGATTTGAATAAAAAATGGTTATTAATTAACAAAAGGAGATACCTGCGATGGGTCGAAGACATTTTACGAGCAGGCCTGGTGCTGTTGGTGCAGCTCCACTTGCACTGAGGCAAATAGACTTAAGAATTTCATAAGACTCGACTTATGAACGACAAATATGAATTTCATAAGCGCGACTTATGAAAGATTTGCGGCTTATACACCTTTAGCCATTTAATTTTCTCACGCGTTGAAAGACGAGTGGTCAACACACGAGCTCCGTAAACTCAACGTCCATGGTTCGGTTCCAGTCTGCTCCGATTTATTATTTTTTTGTCATCATTATTTTTCATAAGGCAAAGCAATGAAATTCATACTGATTTCTTGTGGCTAACATTCATAAGTGTTTGTCGGAGACGAGCCAGCCAACGTCTGAAAGTCTCCTTAATAAAGATATAGGGGAATTTACGTATTTTCGTCAGTCTAAGCAGCGTCCGAACTTCTATTAGCGATTTCTCAGCGTCACACACATACATGACAGGTTTGTTTGTTAACATTTATCTGCTGCTTGCTGTTCTACCCATTCCAATCGACAGAATTGATCAAAACGGGTTGAACATGTTTTTACAACGCTCCAAACTTCTCAGGTGAGTGTGACTATTGTCGGCAGTCTCTTTTTCTTCGGCACCCTTTCCATTTGAACTGCGTGTTAACCAGCTGTTCTATTATCGGCAACTCGAAATCAGCCGTATTTTGTAGTGTGTATATTTAATTTAAAGAAAAATGTGGCATAACAGGATTGCACAGTCTTAAAAATGTAATAAGATTGAAGCTGAAAAGTTAAGGAATCGGCTTAATACATTCAGCGAAGAGTTTTGATGGGAAAATACTGCGAAATTAACGTTTCAATTTCGGTTGCCGAAAACAGTCAATGGGTGCCGAAGCCATAATTTACCCTATAAAAAAAAAAAAATTCATAAGTGTTTCTTAAGGAATTCTTACGTTCTTTTGCCTGCGTGTGGTTATTTGGGTGAGATTATTCCTTTTTATTAATTTATACAGTAACCCCTCCATGCCGTTAGTACATAAATTCAGCTTATCGTTTACCAAAACCGAACCCTGCTGCAAACCCAACCCACTAACCCAACATCCCAGTGATTCCTCGTGGAAGTGCAGAAGATTGGCTTCCATCAAAGCGAGAGTCACGTCAATACCAACACCATTCATTGAGAATGATTGTTAGTCCCAAGCATCGTCTATTGGTTCTCTTTGTAAGTACAGCTGATCTGGCAATAACAGAGTAGCAACCGTGGGCGGTCAATCATGCTCAATCATGCTCATGAATAAAAATTGCCTTTTAATTAACATTATATGGATAAACTCAACTTTTCATGGATAATAACACGCGCCTGCCGAATTTACCTGATTTCATTCACTATTCAAAGATAGTTTTGGATGTGTCAGAATGACCTGTCTGTTCACCCCAATAAGTTTTAGTGTGTTTCATTAAAACAATATTTTTTTCCTTTGGTTTGTTTTTTCCGTCGATCTTGTTTTCCGTGCTGAGCACCAATGCTACCGACGTGCCAGGAAGGCAGCTCCCACACCTGGACCCTACCTATCGACCCATCAACTCAATAACCGGGGACCAACGGCTTTACTTCCCATCCGAAGGAAGGCGTGATCAGAGATGTTATGCCTCAGAACATCATTTGTTGGCAATATTTCATCGGACTACCAATTCTCTAAGGCCAATGTACTATTCCTTGGAACAGCAATGACAACCACCCTCACTGACCGAAATTCTGTCCAATGAAGCAATTATCAGTTTATACAGTCTTCCCAATCTTTGACCACAAGCAGTGGCAGCCCATCGTATGCAATGAGCTGGATTACAGAGGTGAAGCAATCGGTTAAGTTGTGTGAGTAAAACCCCTGTACGATACAAGCAATTAGTGACGTCACTACTTGCGTTTACGTTGATTTTTTGGTTTACTAATACAACAATATTTCACGATCTGCTTCACCTCTCTCTGTATCTCATTGCATCGTATGCTGGAAGCAAGACTGGAAAAAAGATCCAGTAAATGTGCCTCTATGTTTCCAAAAATTGAATTGGCAACGACAGATAGAACTTATATTAAGCGCAGAACTAGAATCCACCCCAGGGTCAATTTGAACTCCTTGCACTTCAAAGGAATCCGCAGCTTAAATGATCGTCTCCTCACCTCCCTCCTCTGTCTCCAGACCATGATAACTGTTCTATTCTCTGACCGACAGACTCCAATCGTGTCAATCTGTCTGAAAATGATTGACATCACTTCGCAAATCCCTCTGATCCAGGCCAGTGACAAGGCCTATATCAACAGCAGCGTTTGACAGTAGGCAGCATGTCCCGGGCTCAAATCGTTTATTTTGTTGTGCTGGGCCCGCTGTCACTGTATAACATGTTGCCTACGCGCCTGCCACTGGGCTGCTCTGATCAATCTCCGGATGGCAACTCATCAGCTCACCAATTACTCACACACGCAAAAAAAACCGTTCCGTTGTTCGTAAACAACAAATCACGAAAGCATGAACTGCTAGTTCGTTTGAATTCATGACTTAGTTCCCGTAAACGTGATCGAGTAAATAACTTAAGTCACGCCTGTTCAACGCGACCATCGATTTCATAACGCTACAGAAAACACAAAATAAAATCATAATTTCGTGATCCATGAACCCATAAGTGTGATTTTCGTCCCTGAAATCGTGAACTTGGATCACATGCAATGCTGCAGCTGTCATTTTCAGTTGTTGTTGATTTCATCCTTATAGAGTGCTCGGATCCGTCGAGAATAGTGTCTCGATTATTATTGAGTGAGCTGAGCCGTATCATCAGAATGTTAGATAAAAATTTCAAAAGGTCCTATCTGCATTGATCGATTCTCTTCATAGACTTTCTCCTTCGTCAATGACTCAGCTGCAAAACCTTTCCCTGTTGTATTTGACGTTTTGGACACTAGATAAGAACCTCCTTTATCAAACTATGTGGTAGAATTAGCGCGAAATCTGTTTGCATAGCAGTGGTTACAAAAAAAGAAAGTCGATGAAGAGAATCGATCAAAGCAGATAGGACCATTTGAAATGTTCATCGAGAATGGTGATCCGGCACAATGGCAGTGGCTGGTACATGTCATCATACTGGCCGTCCTCGAAGAAAAGAATCCCCGAACGCATCCGGTGTTCTTTCTCCCGCCGCTCCGATGGAAGTCGAAGTGGAAGTGGTGTTGATTTTTTGAGCTGAAAACTCGGCTGAAAGTGTATTCATTACATCTGCTGGACAGATACCTGCTGCCAGTTTGGGATGCGGGTAAAACCAGCATCAAGGCTTCCGTTGTTTTCATTCCACTTCCTCACTCCATTTAAAATATTGGTAATTATAATGAAGTTGACGTTTTACAGTCCATGAACCATGTTCCCGTTTTCGAGAACAAGGTTCACGGTATCAATCACAACGCATGAACATAAATCACGTTTGCCAGAACTAGATCATGATTTTCCGAACAGAGTTCACGATTCTTTGACTGTTGTTGCCTTTGCAGGCGTTACGTTTATTTTGTGGAACAATGTTCACGATTTCATGATTTTTATTCATGGTGTACTTTCGTAAACGAAAAATTTACTTGTTGCGAAAATCGTGACTGGAGGTTGACGTATTTCGGAACGGATTTTTCCCGTGAGGCTTGATAAAGCTGTTTGTAGAGCCACTTATGCTGTTTGTTAACGAGGCATCCATCCATTTGATGTTTACAAAATTTGTTCAAGGCAGCTCGTTTGGATGACTTCAGACGCTTGAGTCGGGGGTTGGACCAAGGAGGGTTACTAGATATGGGTGGAGTTGTCATGGTTACAAACTGATCGATCGTATAGACGACAATATTCGAGAAAACAGAAGAGGCAGCATTCGCGTCACGATTTTGGAGTTCATCATCCCAGCTGATGTTTTCTTTTCGAAAAAGGTTGCCATTCCCTCGAAGTCAGTCCTTTGATAGTGATACGAAACGCTGTCCACGGGAGATCAGGAGTATTGTAGCAATCAAGGAGAGATGCTACTAGAGGTGTAATATACACCGTTTGAAAAATTCATGTAAATTTCTGCGAGAAATAGCGGACATAAAATTAACGCTAGATTTGGCATAAATTTACACGATATTTCATGTAAATTTAAGCGCAATATCGTTTAAATTAGCAATATCGTATGGAAGCTTGTAAACGATTTCCTCCCAAGTATCAATTTTGGTTTTATGAGGGTTCTGTAGACTTGTAGAATGCTATAAAACCGCGATAAAACCTGCAATGTTATCCTGTTATGTTTATCCCAAGCGTAGTTCAAAATTAAACGAGGGGAGATTTTATGCGGAGATTTTATGCGATAGTTAAAATTAAAAAAAAATCTGTGTATGAGCCATTTGAGCGAGGATGAAAAAATCCTCCTTCATTCGATGACCAGTTGACTAAAGCAAGATTGAAATCACCAACAACAAGGACACAGGAATGGAACTTCGAATCAGAAAGTGGATCCACTTGTCATTTGCGAACACTAGCGCACCTAGCGGTAGAAGGCATCTTCGGCCTGCAGTTAAGATAGGCAGCATGCTATGATAGTGTGAGTGCATATAGAAAGCCCGTGTGGAACGCTACCACAACACATCGCTCGTTGAGCAGAAAAACGAGCACTTTTTGATTCACCGATTAGTTTGCACTTCCCCTTCTGTTCTGTGACAAGGATCTTGTCAGTCGCATTCTTCTTGGATACAACCCAAAAAAGGAAATCAATGTGTTGATCGATCAATTCAAAACCGCCAAGTCGGTCTGGGGGTAAATACAACACACAAATGAAGACCACTTTCCACGGTAGGGTAACAGCCACCCACATCTGTTCGCATCTGAGCTTTTAGGCGGATGAAGTAACCGAGAGTTATAAGTAGAACGAACTGCTAGCAAAGCTCCACTGCCGAAAGCTTTGGGGCTAGGGTGTTGCTGTTCAATCAAATTTCGGTGAAGGCGTACGTATCGCAACAAGCATCCGAGCAGGTCAATTTGTTCTCAGATACGGTAGTCAAGCTGAGCATTGCATTGATCGATTCTCTTCGTCGACTTTCTCTTTCGTTAATAACTTGAGCACATAACCGTTTTTTGTTATGTTTGTCGTATTAGATACTAGATGAAAGCTTTTTTTTATCGATCTGTGTGCTGAAAATACATGGGAATATCTTTACATGGACTTGGGGATACAAAGAGAAAGTCGACGAAAAGAATCTGTCAATGTTGCTTAAGACCTAATGCCATGTTCAGCTTATTGTATTCATGCGTCCAACGTTTTTTCGAACAATTAAAGGTTTGGAACTTGGGTGCGGGATACTCATTATGCCCCACCTGTTCACTAGGCCCCTCTTACACCCTATAAGGTTAATATAAAAATTTAAAACCAGCCTTATATTGCAAAAAAAGGTCCTTATCGGGCTATTAACGGACTTGGTGGCTACTTGGAACGGTACCTTCCGCGTCGGTGGTCGCTGTCCGCTCTGTTGGCTAGCTATTAACCATCCAAAGCTTCTGCACACAGGTTCGATACTCCTGCTAGCTACTCACCGCCAAATGTTCTGGATTTTAGGCGGCAGAAACCGTCTTCCATCAAAAACAAATCCATTCATGCCCTACATACCATAGCCGATCTACCGGTATCACGAGTTTTACTGCCGTGTCAGTCTTCTCTTGGCTCAGTCCGCAAAAGCGCAGCTATATACAGCAAGATCATGCTGGAGGCGGCGGGCACAATTCCCGATTTGATCAAGTACACATAAAGAATGTTTTCACTTCACTTCACATTAAATTAATGTACAGCTTCCAATTGTTTCTTAAATCGAATATTGAATTATCATGAATCAGGTTCCCAATTGCTTTTATTTGTTTGTCCAACCATGCTAAACTATTCGATTTTTGCATCTTCCGATCCTGCCTGGCTTGGGTGCCATCCCCCGCAATCGCTCTCATGTCGTCCATCGTCCAGCGTAGACTTCGTAGATGCGAAGAACTGTTTAATGTATGTGTAATCGTCTGCTGAATCAAATCCGCTTGCTGTAATCTGTTATCAAAATGTATCCGTGTTATAAACATTATGTTCACTAATGGCACACACACACACATTCACATTCTAACTCGATATCCATTTTGCAGGGAAAACGTCTGGAAGAAAGCGGAAAGCAGTCAGACATCATCACCACCGAAGAATACGAGATGCGAGCCGATACGGCCGGGTATGTCGGATGCTATGCCAGAAATGGCTATGGCGACGATTTCGTCAGAGCCGATTTGCTCATCAGTGATCTGGACAAACCGGTAGTGGTGAACAAAGTTTCTCCCGAAGATGATGCAACAATCGGCGATGAAGTGACGATTAAATGTGCCGCTGTGGTGTACAATCACACCAACCAGATTCAGTTCTTCCGGGATGACGTTTTGCTGAGTGAATCTGATGATGGGACCGTTATTGAAAGTGGTTACGAATCGTATGCCTACTGGAGGAAATTGGTTATCCATAGCGTTGGTAAGGAACACGAAGGTTTGATTCGATGTCAGGTACCGTTAGTGGGTTCTGTTGTTGCCGACTATGATGAAATGAGCTTGATGGTATATCAACCGATCGCTCCGAGCATCATGGAAGGAAATGACCACGTGGAACTGGAGCTGGCAATTGGAGAGAGGTACACATTCACCTGCACCGTAGAAGGAATGCCGAAGCCAACGATCGAATGGGTCAAGAATGGCGAACCAGTGATCTTTGACAATGACACAATAGTTTTGCTACCCAATGGAAGCTTACACATGCCATCCGTGAAAACAGAACATTCTGGCGAATACAAATGCCAAGCTACGAACAAAGTCAACCAAACGGAAAAGGTTTGGGACTTGCGTGTGTTTACCATCCGAAGGACATGGATCTATCTGATCCTTTCGCTATTCCTTGGCTTGATCATTGCGGTCGTTCTCATATCAATATTCTACTACAGGAAGAAGAAGGAGGTAAAGGCCATGAAGGAGGCCGGTCTGGTCAACTTCGAAGAAGGCAATCTGGAACAGATGAACCCGGAGATTTCGCTGGATGAACAGGCAGATTTGCTTCCGTACAAGAGCGAGTACGAATTTCCAAAGGAACGGCTGAAGCTCGGCAAACAGCTGGGTGCCGGTGCGTTTGGTGTGGTCATGAAGGCCACTGCCGCCGGGATCATGGTCAACGAAGACGAAACAATAGTTGCGGTCAAGATGGTCAAGAAGCAAACCGATAACGAAGTCATGCGAGCTTTGATTTCCGAATTGAAGATAATGGTTCACCTTGGTCAGCATCTGAACGTGGTGAATCTGCTGGGAGCGGTTACGAAGAATATCGCCAAGAGTAAGAATATTGATTAAGATTTTTTTAGTGGTTTTAGGGTGTTCAACTATTCGTTTGTCTTGATTTATTTTGCAGGAGAACTGATGGTGATCGTAGAGTACTGTCGCTTCGGTAACGTTCAAAATTTCCTGTTGAAACACCGACCGTACTTTATTGATCAGGTAAATACGGAAACGGGTGAAATCGATTCTAGCATCGACACAAATCAACTTCGATGGTCGGCAGCACCTTATACGTACAACAGGTAAGATCTAGCCAGTGCTAACTATTTTTTAAATTATTTGTGAATGTTTGATAACTACTAACAAGTATATCTAGGATTGCAGCATAGTCAAGGTCGTTAAACCGATTTCTAATCCACTACACTTTATTTTTCATGGTGATTGATTGCTTCTTCCAATGCCTAAAACAAATGCATAACTGACACCGAAAACCTATCATCCTCACTTCTTCATACTCTACGGATCTCTGTTTCTGTCGCCTCTAATCATCCCACCATATCTTTCCGGGACCTCGTGAAATCGTGTGTGCTAACCCACCTGGTGCATTTTCTTGTATGTGATGTCGTTTTAACCCGCTACCGGTGATGGGCTATCTGTTGTTGTTGCCGTTGGTTTGTGATCCCCTCAGTCAAGGCTTGAAGTATGTTAACCTCTCGTTTTCTACACACAATGTCAACAATCCCAATTTGAACAACAACAACCATCATAATGTTCACAACAACAACAACAATCAACCACATCAACGCCGAACGGCACATCCACCGGTTGTGATCTACTGCAACAACATGGTCAACAGTGGTAACTCGGCAGCCTACACAAACCCCAAGAACCACATGAACTCGAAGGGATACGTTCGACATTCCGGTATTCAGAACATGGCCGTTGTGGACAGCTGCAATACGGAGGCTACGATCATGACGTCGGTGGAAGGTAAGTTAAATTAAAAAAATAAACTTGATTCTTTTGCAAGATTGAGATTTTGAATATGTTTCTTAGTCTGATTTTTGCTATAGTTTGGGGTCATGCACGAACTTTTGACATCCGAGAACTTTAAACGTTATTTCTTAATATGAGGTTTGGATTATGTATAAGCATTTTTCACCACTCAGTAAAAATTAATTGTCTGATAAATGGTGATCAGTGCTACCAACTATTTTTCAAAAATAACTGGCACACAAAAAAAAACTGGATCTTCATAAAAATTGGATTTTCTTGCAAACATGCAAATTTCTGAACTTTTCAATATTTTTTTTACTTAAGTTTGATTTTTTCAACTTGTTTGTTTGGTAGACTTCACTGGTAAACAAAACTTTATGAATCAACAATTCTTTAAATCAATACTGACCTAAGAAGTAGCTAACACGTATAACACTTATCATTCATCGACCGCTACGAAGAGGACTTCATTCACCGGAACAACGTCTTCACTCAACGCTCTGTTCCGTCTTGACGAGCTCAATTTCGCCCTCAGCCGGGGCAGTGGGAAATTTACAGGACCGGACGAGATAGGATATCCCATGCTGCACCATCGGACGCTGGAAACCAAACTCATATTTCTAGACATCCTCAACAAGACCTGGATCGGCAACACCTTGACTGAAGAGTGGTCACATAGATTGATGGTTCCTATTCCCAAAAACGGGCAAGCGTCCTTCTCCCCGGGAGAATTCCAACCCATCTCCTTAACCTGCTGTAAAAGCAAGACTCTTGAGCGCAAGGTGAACCGTCGCTTGATACGTTTTCTCAAAGATAATAACCTCTTAGACCACCGACAATACGCTTTTCGGCCTGGACACGGAACAGACACATATTTTTCAGCCATGGGTGATATTTTGCAAGATGCGATGGACAAAGGGCCCCACGTCAATATTGCATCCCCGGATTTGACCAAGGCCTACAACCGTGCTCGGACACCTTGTCCCAAGTAGCAATGTTGGTTTTATGAGGGTTTTGTAGACCACAATTTAGACTTGTAGCATGCTTTAAAACTTCGATAAAACATGCAATGTTACTTGGGGTGTTACTCAACGACTGGCAGCATGGGATCTAAAAGGTCACATTCACCACTTTTTGATTTTTTTTTTCTCCGATGGACATCAATTTTAGGCATCTACACGTCGTCTCTGTTCCAAAAATACCCATGTTGTAGGGTATTTGCCGCTTATTCTGAACCCAATGGCCACCATATTAGATTCCAAAATGGCGTCTTACATGAATTTTCGGCATCTACACGTCGTCCCTGTTTCGAAAACACCCGTATTGTAGGGTATTTTCCACTTTTTATGAACCCAATGACTGCCATATTGGATTCCAAAGTGGCGTCGGATATCAATTTCCAGCCTTTACACATCACCCGATTCTAAAAATACCAATATTGATGGGCATTTGACAGTATTTGCCACTTTTTTTTAACACGATGGCCACCATATTGGATTTCAAATAGCTTTGGATATAAATTTACTTTTCATGAAAACGGAAGTCGCCATCTTGAATTTCAAAATGGAGTCAGATATCAATTTCCGGCCCCTAAACATCACCCCGATTCCAAAAATATCCATATTGATGGGTATTTGACAGTATTTTCCACTTTTCATAGAATCGGAAGCCGCCATCTTGGATTTCAAAATAACGGCAAAAATAAATTTCCGAACTCTGGACATCAGCCCGATTTAAAAAAAACCATATTGATGGGTGTTTGAAAGTATTTCCCACTTTTCATGAAACCGGAAGCCGCCATCTTGGATTTCAAAATAGCGTCGATTGTAAATTTTGGGACTCTAGACCAGGGGTTGAAACAGTTGACGTTTTTTACCACACTCGCTTCGTTGTCGTGCGCGACAGTCTGTTTGTATTCGAACACTCATGCTCTACCGTCGTCTCTCTCACACAACACGAGCGGTAGAATAACATTCGAGCTAAAAGAAAATTATCAAAATAGCTATCATATGACATGTGTGAATTCGTTGTAATTCCTCAATTTGGTGTAAATCAAACCATTTTTGATCAGAAATATTATTACTAGGACATCATTGCTTGCTATTTTCAGAATTCACACAAGCACACCATCAGCAGCTCTTATTATAAGAAAAACTAAAATACATACATTCGTGACGGTCTTCGGCGACAGTGTCGTATGACAGAGCCTGTCATACGACATTTTAGTTTGGTACTGTACTATGATAGCTTGCTTTGCAAGTGTCGGAGGCAAAAGCAGTCAACTATCACAGAAAATGTGTCGACTACCGTGACCGCTTACAAGACTGCTCTAGACATCATTCTGATTTTTAAAAAAACATATTGATGGGTATTTGACAGTATTTCCCATTTTTCATAAACCGGAAGCCACCATATTGGATTTCAAAATGGCGTCGATTATAAATTTAAAGCCTCTAAACATCACCCCGATTCCAAAAATACCAATATTGATGGGTATTTAACAGTATTTCCCACTTTTCATGGAAACGGAAGCCGCCATCTTGGATTTCAAAATAGCGTCGAAAATAAATTTCCGGACTCTAGACATCAACCCGACTACAAAAAAACAATATTGATGGGTGTTTGAAAGTATTTCCCACTTTTCATGAAACCGGAAGCCGCCATCTTGGATTTCAAAATGGCGTCGATCATAAATTTCCGGATTCTAGACATTACCTTGATTAAAAAAAAACATATTGATGGGTATTTGACAGTATTTCCCATTTTTCATAAAACTGGAAGCCACCATATTGGATTTCAAAATGGAGCCGGATATAAATTTCTTGACTCTAGACATCACCCCGATTCCTGAAATACCCATATTGATGGGTATTTGACAGTATTTCCCACTTTTTCATAAAACCGGAAGCCACCATCTTGGATTTCAAAATGCCGTCGAATATAAAAATCTGGACTCTAGACATCATCCCGGTTCCAAAAATACACCCTTATTCTAAACAAGAATTGTTCGGAGTACTCCGGATACTATCCGGATAGAAAAATAATGGATAATATCGAAAACAACATATATCAAGAAGACTGGCAACTCTTCCATTTTCTCATACAACCGGTATGAGACAGGCACAATAGCGTCATCTGTCGCTCAAAGGTAAATGCTCTTATAGAATTGGCTAGCAAAGGTTCCGTCCTCAGAAGTCAGAAGAAAGGGTTTTGTATTTGCTCATTTTCTATGCGTTGCTTCTACCTTCGTTCGAGCGCAGCGCTTCCAACCAGTGGAAACTAACGAATTTAAATTGGATCACTACTTGACTACTGGTCCCAAACAAATCGATTAACATACCCCATTCTAGTACTACACTAAATTTATTTTGATTCGCCATGAAAGTTTGACAGATAAAATGAGGGGTTAGTGGATTTTCCTATGTTTCGAGGGGTGAATCGATTAGCTTGGGACCGAAGAGAGTACCAGATCTGAGCCAAAAAGTTGAGCACGTTTCTTCGGGATCTACTAGTCTTAGAGGTACCTCTATGGTGCTACCATAGAGGTAACTCTAAGACTAGTAGGTCCCGAAGAAACGCGCTCAACTTTTTGGCTCAGCTCTGGTACTATCTTCGGTCCCAAGCTAATCGATTCACCCCTCGAAACATAGGAAAATCCACTAACCTCTCATTTAATCTGTCAAACTTTCATAGCGAATCAAAACAAACATTGTGTAGTATTAGAATTTTGACTAGAATGGGGTACGTTAATCGATTTGCTTGGGACCAATAGGCTAGTCAAGTAGTGAGCCAATTTTGTTGATTGTTGGTGCTACTGTGTCTGTCGCTTGGATTCAGGCAAAGTTGCCAGTCTTGTTGATATATTGTCTTCGATAATATCCAAGTTAAAATTATCCGGATAATTTGAATTTGGATATTATCCGGGGGGAAAGAAATGTGGATAGGGATAGACTCCATTTTTTTCTATTCACTGGATAGATCTATCCGGATAATTTTAAAGCCTGTCGAAAACTGAATCACTTCCCACATTTTAATGGCGCAATAAACAGTTGCCACACTCGGCTGAACCTACTCCGGACAGTATCTAAGCCGCACCAGAGCAACAACCGCGAAAGCCTGCTTAAGGTGGCCAAAGCGGTCGTTCATAACAGGCTCTTTTATGGGGTTGTGATCACATGTGTTGCTAACGACCGGTTATCCTCCAAGCTGACACCCATCTATAACCAAACTGTCAGAATAGTGGCTGGTCTCCTGCCCTCGGCACCGGCCGACGGTTGGCTCATCGATAGCCAGGTCTATTAGAGTGGGGGAAAACTCACCTATACTACACACACACACACATTGCGGAACTGCTGAACGGAAGGTTAAGTAAACTACACCACCGCTACACTGATGGTTCTAAAGCTTCAGGAAGAACCGGATTTGGCGTCTCGGACCCCGGTTGTTGTACCTTCTTTCGGCTACCAGACCAGTGCTCGGTTTTTCGGCTGAAGCTGCGGCAATCCACCACGCGGTCACCACTCCGACAGATAAACCGCTATGTATCTTAACTGACTGCGCCGGTGTTCTCGCAGCATTGAAATCACGGGTAACACGTAATCCGTGGATCCAAGGGACTCAAATGTCAGCCCCACCGAATACCATAGTTCATATGTAACAGCTTTACATTAATAGGAATTATGCTTATCGTAAGACCATTGTTTCAGCACAAACGAAGTGATAGACAGACAGAAATCAATTAAAATAATGTGGTTCGCTGTAATATAATTTTCTTAGAAGCTTGTGTCATCAGCCACCAGATGGGCTAGTAGTTTTGTTTTGATTTGAACAAAGTTGATTTTGTGTGCAATGATCTTTGACAGTGTGCAAAGAGTGTGTCATTTTGTCAATTTTTTTATGCATTTCAGTTTTGAGTAGAGTGAAATAGATAGAAGCAAAACATTCTAGTACATTTGGTGAAAATACTAGTGCAATCAAGTTAGCAACCGGTGGAA